TTTCATATATACTAATATTTGAACCAGGGTACTTATGAGAATGAAAGGTAGCATTACTAATACTTACTCCAGAACAATAGGCAAAAACAAACTGCTTTGAGCTAGAAGCACTGTCTGTGATAACTTGATCTTGAATACTCCTCACTACAACCTCATGTGATAGCTATTATTTGTACCACTTTACAGACACAAACACCTGGAAGGTGAGTCCAGGAGTGATTTATATAAGAAATGATGGTCGATGAGTGCTGTCTTTCTAGTGAAAGCTTCCAAAGCACATTGTCTGCAATTCTCTTTTGGTTTTTATTATTTTTTATGTGATACAGCATATTTGCATTTATCTTATTTTTCTATGGGTGTAAATTATGTGAAGTCAAGAAATATATATATGTACATATGGTCTACCCCATCATAAACACAGATTGTTAGAAAGATTGAATCTAAGCTTTATCCTACCCTATCTCCCCTTTTAACCACTTATGCATCAGTTTTGTCTTTCACATTATCACTTCACTGATTTAAGAAGAACACCACTTTATATGATTTTTGCAGTCTATAATACAGAACACAATTGACACATTTACCTTTCTTATGATTTTATTACTGGGAAAAAATTTTAATGCATGAAAGAGAATGCAGGCCTTTTCAAATATAAGACATTTGTTGATCTCTTATTTGAGTAATCTAATAGGATAGACAAGAGCTGAGTACTAGTCCCCACTTTATTGATAAAGAAGCTGAAGTACAGAAATATTAAGGTATTAATCTGAAATAATTATTGGTAGGACTGGGATAAGATTAAGATGATCAAACTTCTATCCATTTTTCTCTTGCTATTATAAGTTGATATGTATGCTTCTACCACCAACTACATGGATAAACAATTAATTTCCTCACTTTATTGAATCACATTGATAGCATAGTATAGATAAACTATAAATGAAGGAAAATAGAAGCAACTAATGTTTATTATGTATCTTTATATGAAAAATTATTTATAGATATTCCCACATATCCTTTAAAAATGCCAAAAAGTAAGCATGATTATTCTCACTTAGTAGATGAAGAAATCTTACAGAGATCAAGTGACTTGCTCAGGATCACAGACTAGATGAGGGCCCCTTTCTAAACGGTCCAAAGCCTGAATGTTTGTCATTGGTCAGAATGGAAAGTATGGTCTTTGGATCAAGTTTTGATATAACCACTTTGACAAGTTTGTTGAGCTATCTGAGCTTTATTTTTTATCATCTTTAATATAAGGAAAATATTTATCTCTAATAATTGTTGTAAGAGCTTAGTGAGATTTCAAGTGCCCTGTTCATAGACTAGATACAACAATCAATTAAGAAATAAAAATAGTCTTCAACAAAATCCCTGATTAGAGATATAAAAGTGAGTTTCAAAGATCTTCCTGATTCTAAAGCAACTCCTCTTTGAAGTACATCTTGTACCTGTTAATTGCAGTTTTTAAGGAACAAAATTCAGCTGAGTATGTTTGAAGATCTAATTGGCTTCTTAAGTGATTCATGAATCAGGCAACATCCCATCTAGCAACTGGTAGAATGAACACAGGGTTTGTACCAAATAGAATGTTTTTATAGGAAGAAGGGTGGGGGGTGAGGAAAAGATTAACAAAAGAAGAGAAAGGGTTATTTTTAGACCAGGTTATCTTTCTTTGGGGGTCAAGGGAACTGCAAAGGTTTTCATTGTGCAGATGTCTCTTCTTTTTCTGGGAGATGGGGAGGGCCAAAGTGAGATTATTACCTCACTGGTAGTGACCAGAAAATTCCAGACTGTTTTCTCAAGATTATATTTCTGGTAGAGGTTAAAATAGCAACAGGTTGGGCATTAGGTCTATGGTTGGCATCATGGGCTTTACCACAAGAGCAGTCATTTTGGGCCTGTGACTTTCTCTTTAACACAAGTAAGGGAACTGAAATAACCTTTTGTTCTTATATTTCACATAGTATATTAGATTTGCATATTGATTTATGTAAAAGAATCTGAAGATTAAATCTCTGGACTGCCAACTCTGCATCTGATTATTAGCTACTGTATTTTCCCCATAAGGTAACATCAGGAATGTGTTTTTGGATATTCATGATATGATTGGGTAATTGTGAACCAGGCAATTGCCACTCCTATATAATGATTCCCCTGAAAAAAACTTAACAAATCTTGAGTCTTTTATCCCTAAAACTCTCTGGTGTCTTTCATAATGAATGGGGCTGCTCTACACTTTAGGATAAGCATCATGTTTCCCTGATCTTAGACTACATTGCACTGGAGCGGGATTGGGTAGAAAGATTATCGACTGTAAGAAAAAAAAACAACTGATGGCATTATGGAGTTTCAGCATAGCTGAGAAAAGCTTAGATTTCCCCAAATCTCAGTTTTTTGCCTTTACCTGCCATTGATACCTGAAATTCTTGTTTCTTAATTAAAAATTTGTAGCTTTGAGAACATGAAAAAATGAGTTATATTGTTTTCTATTGCCAGCTATTGATACATTAGGGTTAGTGAAACTGTTCCCCAATAAGAGCCTGGGGGTGATGATGGAAAGTGTTGCGCGTGGGTCTCCAGCCAGCAGTGACCATGGAACGCTGTGGATGGCTCTACGAAAACACGCGAGAAAAAACATGCACAGAGACAAACTAGTTTCTGTGGGGAAGTAGGGACGAAATGGCCACCCCCCACTAGTGGGGAGCGCGCCGATTTACAGTCCATACCTGCTTTTATTGGGCTCATTCTGCATAATAATTCAGGTAAGGTATAGTACTCATTAGGGGGAAGTAAGGAACCATAGAAAACAAAGAACTCTGCCAGTCTATTGAGTTGGGGGTCAAAGAGCTGTAAGACCGAGGAACAAAATAACTTCCTCCTAAGACCCTTCTCATTCAACTGAGAGCATTCTAAACAAAGAAGGTTTCACAGTAATTTACATGTTCTTTCTTAGGCCTGATCACCCTGGGGAATCCGCCCTTCTCAGTGCCGAGCTGCACCACCCTGTCATTGTTTCAGGCTTAGGTGGAGCAAGGGAACTAAGGCAACTGAGACAAGGAGGTTTTTTTCCCAGATGCTGAGAACTCAGGCTATGTCAAAGCCGAGGAGCGAGGGTCCATCACCCCCCTTTTGCTGCAGCCCCCCAAGTCCTTCTTTTGGGGGGCCTCCCTAAAAGTGATCGTGCCTGTCTTAGGTCATTCCCCGCGTGGGGAATCTTACCCGTCTTTGGCTAACCGACCAAGCTTTTTGGGGTTCAGTCATGAATAAAGCAGCAGAAGCAGCATTCCTGCCAGGAAGGTAAGCTTTTGTCTCCTTGCTGGCTTACGGTTCCAAGGGTGTTCCCTTAGCCTAGCCTAGGCGGGGGTTTCAGCTTCTGATACCAGTCAGGGCGGTTCCCAACAGAAAGCACTGCAGACCCTTGGCACCTAATTTATATCAGAAGAGAAGGAGAAAAAGTCACAGGGGAAACTTTAGAGGGAAGCAGGAAAACAAATTCCATAGGCATTATGATCTTGTTAATGTTAGCCTTGGTGGTTGATCCTCACTATCTTTCGCAGGGCCCCAGAGTCGTATGGTTTCCCTGAGGCCTGAATGGATGTCAATATGTGAAGGTGACCAAACTTGCATGACTACCCCTTGAAAATATTGGGCAGAAGAGATCAAAGGGAGCCAGCAATTATTTGGTAAAACCAACTCCTTGCCAGAAGGGAAGACAAGACAGAAAAGAAAAGGGTCTTGATTATCAGTGGCAGCAGTTTCAGAGAGATAGTAACTGGAATCACACCAGCCATGTTGTGTGCCTTATATTTGTACCCTCCAGAAACTGGCATATACCTAGAGCTTTCAAGTCTTTGCTGAATATGAGTGGATGGATCCTGGGCTGAGCTGAGTCATTTCTCACACCAGCCCCACTCCTGATGTATTTAACTAAATTTTCTCTGCCTTCCTTTCAGAGTAGAAGAATGTTCAACATTTAGACCTGTCATGCCTCATGACCCTGAAAAAATATGCTTAAGAGTGATTGGATAATCACTCTTGGCTAATTCAAAAGAACATAAACATCCTTATGTTCATAGCAGCATTATTTATAATAGCTAAGATTTGGACACAGCCAAATTGCCCATCAGTAGATGAGTGGATAAAAAAGCTATGGTATGTTCACACAATGGAATAATATGCAGCAGTAAGAGAGAAAAACTGTTACATTTTGTAACAGCATGGATGGACCTGGAGAACATTATGCTAAGTGAATTAAGCCGGTCAGTGAAAGACAAATACCATATGATCTCATTTATATGTGGAATCTAATGAACATGGTAAACTAATGAACAAAATAGTAACAGAAGGTTAGATACATGAAACAGACTGACAGCTGCTGAAAAGGAGGAGGGAGGCAGGATGAAAGATGGTGAAGGGATTAACCAAAGAACGTTTATGCACAGCCCATGGACATGGACAGCGATATGGGGATTGGCTTAAGGAGGAAAGAGGGCGAGACAGGGTCGTGGGGAAAGGGAGAAAAGGCAGGGACAACTGTAATAGCATAAACAATAAAAAATTATATGCCACACATGAAAGAGAGCTTTCTACTGGGCCTTTTAAATTTATTATTTCTCACAACAAATTTATAAGGTAGATACTTTTGTTGCTCCCATTTTCAGATGAAGAAAAGGAAAAAGAGAGTTTTCTTTTATAACTTGCTCATAAAAAGAATGATTGGAAATTTATTTCCCCTATCAAATCCTGTCTCCATTTCAAATCAATATTTGAGTCAATTTTAAATAAAAAACTAATGAACTTTGCTTAGCATGTTTTTCAAAAATACTAATTTCTATTTCCTTCAGATAAATAAAGTTAAGGGTTACAGAAAACTTTCAAAATTAAGATTCACTCAACAAATGGATGGTAACTTAGGTAGTGTTTATTGGAAGTCGTTTGCATTTTTGATCTTCTGCCACCATTTTCTATCACCATCACTTATCTGTGATAACACATTTTCATTTTTGAGTTTTTTTCCCAATTAGTTTTTTGAAAGCAGCTTTCACATCCTTGTTCCGTAAACTGTAGATCAAGGGATTCAACATGGGTATGATTATAGTGTAGAATACAGAGGCCCACTTATCTTGGTCCAGTGAGTAGCTGGATGTTGGCCTCAGGTACATAAACATGACTGTGCCATAGAAAAGTGTGACTCCAGTGAGGTGAGACCCGCAGGTGGAGAAAGCCTTAAGGCGGCCCTCAGCTGAGCTCATTCTGATGATTGCAATGAGGATGAAGGCATAGGAGATGAAGATGATGAGGATGGTGCTGAATTCAATGAAGCCACACAGACTAAAGAGCAAGATCTCACTGATGTGGGTGTCTGAGCAAGAGAGGGCCAAGAGTGGTGGGATTTCACAGAAAAAGTGGTTGATGATATTGGAACCACAATAACTCAAACTGAAGGTGAGGGAAGTGTGAGCTACTAAACTCACCAGACCAGCCAGGTAAGAGCCCAGCATGAGAACCAAACAGACTCGCTTAGACATGAGAGTGTTGTAGTGGAGGGGTCGACAGATGGCCACAAAACGGTCATAGGCCATGGCAGCCAGGACATAGCATTCAGCATCCACAAAACCTACAAAGAAAGCAAACTGGGTGGCACAGCTAGAGAAGGAGATAACTTTGTGTTTTGTTAGGAAATCAGCCAGCATCCTGGGAGCAATGGCTGAGGAGTAGCCCAGGTCAACAAATGAAAGATTGCATAGGAAAAAGTACATGGGTGTGTGAAGCTGAGTGTCTGTTATAATCAGGATGATCATACCAATGTTCCCCACTACATTGACCAGATAGACTAAGAGGAAGATCACAAAGAAGATAATCTGGAGCTGAGGGTCCTGTGTGATGCCCATGAAGATAAACTCAGTCACCACTGAATGGTTTTCTTTATTCATCTTTTCAATTTTATGAGTGCCTTGATTTGGTTTATTGTTTGGAGTGATCCTTAAAAATCTTCCCAGTGATTAGACTCTTTGACTCATGTGGCAACTTATAGGTGATGGTTGTACAACTTCACTAGGTGCCCAGTTTAAATAGAAGATATTATTAGTGTCCTGGGGATGGCAAATTCTGCTTCTCCAATGACCTTGATGCTCTGAGGTCATTTTTCATATGGTACCAATGCATGACCTGATCTATTCATTTATCCACCTCACTTAATCAGTAAAGAGAAGCCATTTTGAGAGTTTCTTCCTTTTTCTAAAACAAAGCAAATGTGGACACAAATATGAATAAGTATTAACTTTCATTGCATATAAGCACACACACACACACACACACACACACACACAAAAGAAATGAAATAACCAGGGATCTCAAAGCATGACATCACATCACACACATAAACACATTCACAGAAAGTGAAATACTTAGAGCAGAGGGTGAGCAATATTAGAAAAAGCAGTGAATAATGACCATTTCAAATAAAAAGGAGTTACTGAGTATTAATGATAAGCCAGAACTTTGAATGCTTTACATACATTACTTAATTTCATACTCACAACAACCCTGTGAAGTAGGAATCATCATTATCTCCATCCTATACAGGAAAAGAATAAGGCAGGATATCAACTTCAAGAAAGTGAACCAAAGTAAGTAGCAGAGCTGGTTCTGTCTGTCTCGAATCTTGAATAGACTTCATTTTATTGCTCATTGTTTATATGTGATTTGATGAAGGTGAAATCTCTTCATTTTTGTGCCTGCCTTTTTTCACCTGTGTTGCCTATTATGCATGGACACAGACTTAGTCTTTTGGTTTTCCTGATCTTAAGAAGCTTCCAGGGCTTTGGCATAGGGTGTGATGAGAGTGAAGACACAGTTGTCTCTTTGGACAATTTCTATTGCCTAGTCAACATGTTGTTGCATAGCTCAGTTCAAAGTTAAAAGTCAAGAATACCTCATTCAGGGGGGAATAGAGAAAGTATTATCCAAGTCTGCATTCACACAGGAACATACATATGTTAAACTATTTTCTTTTTAATTGGATGAATATTTCATCTATTGACGAATTCTGAAAAGGAAGTGGGCAAAATCAAAGCAAAACAAATGAAGTAATTAAGAAATAAGTAGCATCCTCTACCTAACCCCAAAGGCATAATTCAGAGGGTATCTACTTGGTTTGTTGCTTAGGAAAGACAAGAAAGGGGATAGTATAATGTGTCTTTTATGAGGGTGTGAATATTCATAACAGGTTGTCTTAAATCCTAGGGTGGATGAAAGTAGCGTTCCCCATCTTATGTATATAATATAAGATTTTATATATATAACTAAAGTTCAACCAATCTGACACTTCAAGAAATGGTAGAATAATGAGTAAATAACATATTTCATAGTTAACAGTAAACTGAAATATTTTTTTAAAAACTAGCAAAATGTTTAAAGACAGACCAAGTATATTTTAGATTTTGATGCACCACATACTTTTGCATGTTTAAATGAAAAGAATACTGAAGGAAAAGTTTGGAATCTTAGTTATATTCCTGTTTTTCCCCACTAATTATTTTTTGGACTTCATGAATTGTTGTATTGGATGCAGCTTTCTTAACTGTGAAATGAATGGGGCAGAGAATGCAAACTCTATGGAACTTTCCAAATCTAGAATGCTTCAAATTCAAACACTATGAGATACCTAAAAGCCAAACCCCAGCCTGTGTCTCCTTTTGAATTTAAAATGGCATGGACCCAGTGACAAGCAAACCTGTGCTCAACTAGCACTCAGCAGTGTAGTGCTCCGTTCCCGGTAGGTCACATCAGTTTCTCTTTCTGTCCCCAAAACTGACTCGTGACTTGACCTGTTTTCTACCTGTTGGTAAGAGGTTGAATGTCTTCTCTCCTCTTCTCCTTCACTGAACAAATATTCTCAGAAGTATCCAAAAACAGTGAGTCACTCTAGTAGTTGTCTCTGGGCTGCTTGCTCACCCCACCTTTGTTTCTGGGTGCGGGAGGTATTTAAGTCTTAATCACAAGTAATCCTCAGAAGAAGTATGATGAAATACTTTCTGCATTCACAGGAGACCCAAATACATGATGAACTGTCATCCCCTAAGGATTTCACTCTCTCTTCCTTAAGCTGTAATAATAAAAGAAGGTAACACAGGGGAATTTTATCAGCCACTCCAGTTTTAATTATTGAGTCAACCATAAGGACTGCATTGGACTTTTTTACTTTACCAGCCTTAAGCCTACATGGTGTGATTTTGATGGTAATTTAGAAAGATCTGTTTGCTGATTCTTGAAACGTCTTTCAAAGAGGATAATACTTACCATGCTATATGGAGTGGTCATATTTAAATGTACACGTGAGAGCCAGGAGACTGTGAGATACCCAGTGGTAGTTTGCCTTTATAAAGGTTGACCAGCACTCCTACAAATATTACATGGACAATGTTAAATTTATAAATTAACTTAGCAGAATTGCCACTTTTATGTCATTAACTCTTGCTATCAAAGAGCATATATGTCTTTATACTTCTTCAACTGTACTTTTGTATCATTCTGCAATTTTACTCTTTTCCTTTATAGAGGCTTTGCACATTTTTTTTTCCATTTGGTTATGCTTAGGTCTGTTTTGTTTGGCAACTGTAAATGAGATCTTCTCTTCTACATAAATTCCCTAGCTGGCAATGCATGTGTATATGAAGTGATCAGGCTAATTTTACATTTTGCTAACTTACTGAAATTTTTCTCCCTCTCTCTTCTGGATTTTGAATAAAATGTTACTTATGGCTAGTGATAGTATGTAAGTGTCCCCTGGAATAGTAGATCTATATCCTTTCAGACCCAATGATGTCTTTTAAAACAAGTCATTTGTATTGTCCCCTCTGCTTTTGACGTGATCATAGATAATTTAATTTACCCACACATAATTTAAAGAGAAGAAATAAAATTTAAATAATTTATGATAAAATAATACATATGTTAGTAACTAACTGGTCAGGCATAACTACACTATGAAAAAGGTAAATGTTTTAAAAGAAATTATGTACCCCAGTGTTCATAGCAGTACAATTTACAATAGCCAAGTGCTGGAAGCAACCTAGGTGCCCATCTTTAAATGAGTGGATAAAAACACTATGGTACATTTACACAATGGAATACCACACAGTAGAAAGAAAGAAGGAGCCCCTATCCTTTGTGACAGCATGGATGGAACTGGAGAGCATTATGTTAAGGGAAATAAGCTAGGTGATGAAAGACAAATACCATATGACTTCACTTATAAGTGGAACCTAATCAACAAAACAAACAAGCAAGCAAAATATAACCTGAGACATTGAAATAAAGAACAAACTGACAGTAACCAGAGGAGAGAGGGGAGGTAGGTAAAGGAGGAAAGAATGGGAAGGGTTGTCAAGGAATGTGTATAAAGGACCCATGGACAAAGCTAAAGGGGGGTAGGATTGAAGGTGGGAGGTGGCGGTGATGGGGGGAAGAGGAGACAACTGTGCTCGAAAAACAATAAAAATAAATAAATAAAAAATAAATTTCTTGAAAATAAATAAAATAAAATAACTCTGTAAATGTGACAGTTAAAGATGTGGGCTGATACATGTTTGTTATCTAGGCATGTCAAACAATTTTTCAGCTTCCTAGCTTATGGCATAAACTTCTGAATGATGAGCAGCAATTTGTAAAGTCCCACACCATTCATTTTCTTCCTTGAGTTATTTAATAACTGCATTTGTGGCAAATTTGTTATATATAAAATCTATTCAACAATACTCCATGTTTATATTTAAAATGTGTTTATATGTAAAATGGAGGTTAATGCAAGACTCAGATAATTTGATTAAGGACATCAGCTGACATGATACATGAACATTGTGTGGGGTGTGGATGGTTCTTCATTGTGATGGGCTGTGCTGCACCCTGAAGGCTTTCAGCATCTTCCCCTACATCCCCAGATTCTGTGCCACGTGTACCTCCATCACTGTGACAACCATACATTTTCATAATATCCCCAGAAGAAAACACCAGCTTCATTGAGAACTTGTCCTTGAAATTCTAGGTGTTGGATTTTAAGTAACTTTTTCCAACTAAGAGGTGGTTTAATCTGCCAAGTTAGACATTAGTTACTCTACCTACCCACCCTTAATACTTCTGATTCACTCTTTCTCTTAGAAACCAACAAGACTGCTATGTTAGGGTTCCCCTGAGAAACAGAATCAACAGAAGGTGATAGATAGATAGATAAACTGATATGAGGAAATTTATTATAGGAATCGTTCAATGGTTCCGAAGGCCAAGAAGTCCAAAGATCTGCCATCTGCAAGCTGAAGAAGTAGGGAAGCCTGTAGTGTAATTTGGCCTAAGTCCAGAGACCTAAGAATGGGATGAAAGTGGGGGGTAATGGTGTCTGAGTCCTCTGAAAATAAACAGAACCTCATCTTCAGATATTGACCCTGGGTCTTTTATATGAATGATATAGTAAGGCAAATGAAGAACCTAGTAAGTCTCGATCTAGCCTACATAAACTGATAGCTATTGCTTACTCTGGACAGTTAGGAATAGTGTCAAGGTAGGGGAAACTCATTTTATTAATCATCTATCCATATGCATTTGATATGGTAACTCACATTTGTTCACTTATTTTATCAGAGTCATCCTAAGCATTATCATTCTCAATTAGAAATGGAAAAGCTAAGTCATAAAGAGATTCAGTGCAATATCAGAAGTCACAGGATTAGTAAGACTCAGAGCCAGAACTGAATGCCAAGACAACCCTTGTTCCCCCTATCTCCCTGATCCTCCTATAATCAGTTCTTTACTGTGATCCAGGTGATATAACTGGTATTTACACAGAGTCCTTATAGGAGGCAAGACCAGAGGTAGAATGAACCAGCTGTTTTGTTGATTCTTTCCGTGCTTCTTAGGGGGCCAGATGACCAACTATCAG